AAAAAACATGCGCCATTTCTCCTTATATCAATACTCAAAGCAAAAAATTCACTTAGAGGAATATTTTCTGAAAAAAGCATATTAGGATGATGAAGAATTTTAAAGTAGAAAATTAATTGACTCGTGTTTAATGTTGATATGGCAGCAACTTCATAACACATTGTGCACAGAACAGCACCTATAGATAATGAACCAGGTGAATTTTCAGATATGGTTTTGTAGGCATGATAAAATTTGAATTCCACACCCAAAAGTACTGAACAGTACTTGTAAAATGGAGGATTCAAAATTCTAACTATGCAGTGGAACAAAATGTATTTATCCTTAGAGCAACAATCTTTCAATTTAATTTTAATTTTGCACAAAACAAACTGGAGGACCTTATCAAGTTAAAGCTCACTTCTGAAGTCAAATTTCCTTATTTCGAATTTCCAATAAATCCCTAAACAATTCTCTCAAGTCAAATGCAATATAAATCCTCCAAACAATTTTGATCAAGCGTCTGTTGGTTGATTTTATTGTTAGGCCTTTTCATGAAAGTATTGAATTGGGGATACATTTCCAAATGAAAAAAGTAAATTATTTCCACCATGCGCACCCCAAGGTATTTGCATCTTTCTGCTGGTACAGAATCTATGAAAGATGAACACTCATAATAATTTGGCCAGAAAACAGTTTCCATTCATTACCCTATCCAAATTCTCTAAATGGAAAACTCACTTTTGTCTATTTTCTTGGGAGTTATTTAAACATTTAATTTGAAGAGGTTCAATAAATGCTGCATATTTAGACTTTGCCCACACTTCACGTATTTCCCACCTGGACACCTGCTATAGCAAAAATTCTCCCACAGATTCTCGCCCATCCATGCTTTGGTATAGCGCAGTCTCAACCAGCAGGAGGGAACATGCTCATCCCTGCTTTCGCGTTTCCAGCACTCTCTGCATTGCCTATAGGTGGAGGAACACACATCCTGGTTCCCTTCATTTAAAGGCCTCACTTGACATGGTGGAATCCAATCTCTGATGGTGGCTTTATCCCTGTGAACACACCCACCCATATTATTAGACCGAGAGTTTGGACAAAATTATATGACGTAGGAGGCAATTGTCTCTTTGGAACGTCACGGAACAAAGAGAAAGTTACAGTTCCGAAGTAAAAGTAACGAGACGACGAAGTGTGACCCAACTAACGTTGTGGGCTGGACGAATTCTCTCCCTCTCGCAATGTCAGTGAATTTGGATGTTCTTGTGTGTGCTGACCAGGATTGTTGAGACTTTGGTGTGTAAAGGAAATGAGTTGCTGTATGTGTTTGTGAAACTGATTCTATAGAATGGGAGTTGAAGATGTATTATTGCAGAGAAGAGTGTAAACTTGTGACATTGCCTTGGCTTATTTAGAGACAAATAAGATCATGAAATAAATCTGAATTGGTGATGTGAAGTGCTTTCTGTTTGGAAATGGTGAAGTCATATTATGAAGTGTTCATCTACTGTACTCAACAACAAAAAACTAGCCTGATGCAAAAACTTTTATATTGTGGCATAGATAATGTCTTGCCATTTTGCCATGTTTCATTAAGAAAGACAATTCAGGATAAGAATCTACTGGAAAGCTCTTCTTTACTAACAGAAGAGTACTGTACTGTATATCTATTTCAAGGGATATGAAATAAATTCATTATAAATTCAATAAATGAATTGTGGTATACCAAAGTATAACTGCAAAAGATGTGAGTTGGGTTTGATGTGTCTTCTTTTTTTAAACCAATATTTTAGTTCCTGCACCCTTTACTTTGTGCCAACAACTTAACCTGAATAAATCAAGTTTTATACATCATGGATATACTGTTCAGTATCCACAAACTATATACAATACCATCAATGGTGCCCTTGGTACAAAGAAATAGCCACACAGGGAAGATTGTGGCATTTTCTCTAGGACTGACTATACAGAAAGGTGTCTTTTGCATTTTGCTAGCTTTAATTAATTTTTAATAATCTTTTTTGGCATTTTGAAAAATAGTATAGACAAAGGTCAGCCATATTATCACTTCCATTGTGCTAAAATACATTTTGCATCCAGCATTAAATTAAACCTCGCTCCCACCCAAAAATTAAACTTCATCCATTTTTGGCAATTCATCTTGAAAAATTAAAGAAACATAATGGAAAATTGCGTTTACTGTATTTAATCCAAGGATTTATCTTCAACCAAATCCACTGGTTTTTCAGAAAATTATTGAGGTCCACGCGTGAGTCACTTAAGTATCATTTGAGACTTTTGAGGGTAATTTATCCATTTCTGAATTTAAAAAATAACTAAAAACTGTGTTGAATGAAATTGGGAAAATTAACTTGCAATTTCAAAATTGGCATTCAATATGGTTTGAGGGCCATTTTCAGTCGTCATAATTTTGATTCAGTATCTTTTCTACAGTTTTAAAATAAATATATCAGATCGTCCATCTTTTGAGAGTTGTTTACGTAACATGGTCGTCGAAGAACCTTCGAGAAAAAGTCCCCAATGTTCTTGCAATTTCTCGTCATAGGAGGAAAAAAACAAACATACATTCCTCTGTTTGAAGCAATAAACAAACAAAAAACCCCAGGGCTTGCGTCACGCGATTTGCATCATTTGATAACGATCCTCAGTTCAGGGAGGAAAACATCAGAATCCCAGTGAAGAACTCAACAGCAGTTCGAAGTCCAGAAGAAAATCCCCGAAAAAACAAAGCCTTGATTTTTGGGATTTTATTTTCTAAAAATATTTGCGAAGTGTGATGCACCCATAAAAAATAGCTAAATGGCTCAAATTTACTGAATCAACTGTTTGAAACGCTTCTGACACTTGCGCTGTAAAAAGTTGAAGAAGAAAAAAGGAACAGAATGAAGGAGTCGCACAAAATCTATGCGACCAACAAGAAAAAGTCGGTTCATGAATTTTTTTACTGGGCGATTTGATTTTGCACTGGGTTCATTCCTTGCAATTTACAAAAGCTAATACAAATTCAAACGGTGAATGTTCGAAATATTAAAACGATGAATCCCAGATTTATTGCCCGTGATTTTACCATATCATGGTCAAAAGATTCATGAGCAAAATTTTCTATTTTAAAAATTATTGAAAATATGCCGAGTAACTTGTATATTTGCCAGTGCAGTACAAATATGCATAATCAAACATAGGAAGGGCTGTTGTACTTCAGTGAGCCCTGTTTGACGTATTTTTTTGTGTGCAAATTCTGAAGGATAAATATGGCTGGACCAAAAAATCTGCGAGATGAGCGCCTCATTTTTTGTACAAAAAGCAGAAATATGATCAATTGTGGCAGATTTCTGGTCAACAGGCCAGCAAAGTTTCATAAAATGTGTACAGACTGGAAAGAATTTTGCTTGATAGAATTGATGGCAGGTATATAAAAGTTGTTGCTTATTGAAAAAATTTAGTTGAGCACATATGAAGCATCTATATCTGAATGTCATCAAAAACTTAGAAAGGTGAACATTAAAATAATTTATTTCACCTGGTAAAATTGTGTCTGAAGTACTGTTATTAGGATAAAAGCCAACTTTCAACTTCATCAAATGCTTTCAACTGCCTGTCTTTCCAAAATTTAAGATAATGATAACAGAATTCATTGCTACTTTCAATAAGTGTTATGCAGAAATTTTCCCATGGACCAGCAAAAAAACTTGTGGACCACAGGTTGTGGAACACTTGGTTTAGACCACTGGTACAGTTGAACCTCTTTAAGTTGATCTTCTAGGGACCAGGGAAAAAAATTTGACTGAGGGAGGTTTTGACTGAGGGAGGTCTAGACTTATAAAGGTCTAGACTTATAGAGGTCTAGACTTATAGAGGTCTAGACTTATAGAGGTCTAGACTTATAGAGGTCTAGGCTTATAGAGGTCTAGACTTATAGAGGTCTAGACTTATAGAGGAGGTCTAGACTTATAGAGGAGGTCTAGACTTATAGAGGAGGTCTAGACTTATAGAGGAGGTCTAGACTTATAGAGGAGGTCTAGACTTATAGAGGAGGTCTAGACTTATAGAGGTCTAGACTTATAGAGGTTTTGACTTATAGAGGTTTTGAATTATAGAGGTTTTGACTTATAGAGGTTTGGAGTAAGGGAAACAAAAATTTTTGCTGTGAGGAAAAGTAAAAAAAATTGTGGGAATTTGAGATGAGGATATTCTGGGCCTAAACTTATTTTGTAATGACTTCACAGCTTGCTGAAATTGGAGGCAGGGGTTCGTTTGTGAAAGTAGTCTTTCACTTCAATTCAAGATGCATAAAATCATTTGTTTTATCGATTTTCTCTTTCATATTTCAAGGAAATAATAACCAAAAGGCCTCAGAAAATTGAACTTACAGAGGTTTCAGAGAAAGATTACTTCAAGTTAGGGAGGTTTTCAATGCATTGTTTCTACGGAAATCCACACATGGACTGGAAAACAAATTTGAGTTAGAGAGGTTTGACTTAGCCAGGTTCAACTTCATGTGTCTGAGCGGAATCATTACATCAATTATACGTGCCTCCCGAATCCACCACATTCTCGTTTCTCTCTTCTTTCACATCCTATATATAATCTTTTCCCAATTATTCTTCCTCTTTCCAGACGACATTGAGACTTGCGGAAACGCGTTGGGCGGAAGGCGTGAGGTTCCATCTATTCGCTCGCTGGCAACTCTATAAAACACACACACACACACACACACATCTCCTTCTCTCTGTCTCTCGCACGGCGTTCGATTGTTGGGATTTTCGTCTCACGCCACAGTCTGGCCTCAGCAGTTCTCCCCAACGAGTCTCAACAAGAAAATATCGTTTAAAAAAAATAAGATTACCCGAATCTATATAAAAGAAGAAGAGGAAAAAAAAAAATCTGAGGTTATCGCGCTTTTCCTTCCTTCGAACACATCTATACGCCCGGCGTTCGTTTCTCCCGAGGGGATCTACAGCATATTCAAGACATGACTATGGGACACGGATTCGCTGAGCCCTTCGGAGCTTTGGGTTAGTGATTCTTTTATTATTTTTAAAATAAAAACTTTAATTGAATTACTTTCGAAACTTTGGTAACATTCTCGCGTAACGTATTTTTTTTTACTCTTTGAGCTCTGGCTGCCACTGAGATTTTTTCTTCGGATAATACAGACTGAATGAAAAGTGATTAATTGAACAAAAATATTCACGCTGATTTCGGGAAAGTGGCTGCGAGGGAAATTTTTAAAGTGGATGACGTATTTTTCAGGTATTATTTTTCTCGTTGAAAATTGCTGTCCTTTTATCCGTCGTTATTTTATTATGTAGGTATAGCATGAATATTGTACAGTTTGGAAATTTCCAGTGATTAAATGAACAAAAAATTCACGTTGATTTCGGAAATGTGGCTGCTGTGAGGATGTACTGTAAATGTTTTTGGTGGTTGAAATATTTCTTTAAATATTATTTTTTATCATTGAAAATCCCTTGGAAAAATTAATGGTAAAAAGTAAATAAATGTTAATTTCTTAATAATTGAATTTGCATTAAAGACTTTTCACATAACAGACTGGTTTGTTGAATAATTAAGTCTGTTGTACAGGGTTTGTCTGTAGATGATTCTTTATGTTGCCTCTTGAAATATTGAACTATTACTATGTAAGTTTCAGGGAATAATCTGGAACCAAAGAGTCATCTTTATGTCATAATGGCAAATACAGTCAACCCCCGTCTAACAGACTTGATTTGTGCAAGGGACGAGTCTGTTAGACAAAAAGTCCTTTACACGAATTCAATTAAATAAAAAAATTAAAACTTTCAATTTTCAACACTAATTTTAAATCAAAAGAAGTCTGTTTGGCAGATTTTGTCTGTTGGGCGGGAGGAAAAACTGCTTGCAGAGCTGGTCTGTTTGGCAAAAAATCCCTTACATGGGAGGTCTGTTAGGCGGGGGGCCACTGTACTGTAAAGTCAACCCCTGAACAATGGACTTGATTTTTGCAACAGACTGGTCTGCTGTGTGAAAAAGTCTGTTGTGTGAATTCAATTATTAAAAAATGAAAATTTTCACTTCTTAATTTTAAATTCAAATTAATTTTAATCTTAAATTAATTTTAAACCATTAATTTTAAACCAAAATAAGTCTGTTATGCATATTTAGTCCATTTTGCGGGAGGGAAAACTATCCTCCAAAGAGGTGGTCTGTTGTGTGTGAAAATCTTTTGTGCGGGAGGTCTGTTGTGTGGGGGTCGACTGTAAATTAAAACTTACAGCAAACGGTCTGTCCATTGGACCTATAGTCAATTCATTTCTTTTTTCTTTCAATAGTGATGATTTGCTATTTTTATGCATATTATTGCAGTGAGTGGTGACTTCATGGACTTATTTCGTGCGGATGAAAAGATGGGGCTCCTGGGATACCTCGCCGTGTTCTCGCCGGTTTTCGAAGACTCGTCATCATCACTACCACAACTACCCAACTCAGATCTCGAAAATTCCAAGGTGAGTCTTGCTAAATAATCCCCTGTCAAATGTTTATGAAGACCAGATAGTCTTCTCTTTATCACGCATAGTTTTCATGGGCGATAAAAAAAAGAAACGCGAGTGGAATCTTAAACGGGTGTGAAAGTCGACAAATTTCAAGTGGAGTTTTCCTGTATAAGAAAGATTCGCGACATGATTTTGAAAATTATTAGGGAAATTGTCTCACGAATTACAGGATAATTGAAAGAAACGGGGAAAATTGCCTCGTTTAATTAGATCCTTTATTTTATATGAGTCCAGCTGGCATTTTCCTCTCTCTTTCTGTAATTTATTGTCTAATGAAAAACATTATAATTCCAAAACCGAATGTTGTGAAATCGTCTTGTTTTCGTCAATAAGTTTGAAAGACATGAATAAGTGTACTTAGACCATGCAGTGAATATTCTAAAATAGAAGGTAGCGAAGAGGTGATGTAGTATAATAATAATTTTTCCCACTCAATAAGGTACAGTAATTTCAGATCAACCATAATTTCGCAATAATTATGCTCCAGTAAACAGAAAAATTCGTACATACGCATCACAAGACGGTTTCATTTCTTTTTAATGACAATGCGTGCATATATACAAGAACGCGGATAAAAATTTGCATTTTAAATTAATCTAATACATGTTATGGCAGCTATAGGGTGCTTCGAAAGGAACAGAAAAGTTTTGTTGCTGTAGATTTCATATTCAAATGTGTAAGAACCATTTATTATTTTTTAGTGTAGATTTTATCTTCGTATGTGCAAGAACAATTTTAAATTTGTTTGAAGGGAAAATACCTTCTTTTCAGAGTAGAAATTTGAATTGAATTTTAAAAGTTACTCCCAGAAGGCTTTTGCTTGCGTCCCTCTGAAGAGTTTTGCTTCATTCACATAGGTGTCGCATGAGTCGCGTTGTATTTTTCTCAAGGATCGAAAGGGTTATCAATGTAGGTAATGCTCAAACCGGGATGAAAAATTTTTAAATGCCAGTCTTAATGGAGTTTCAGATGTCATTGTTTCCAACCATTCAGTTTTTCACTGATTATTTTCGAAAATTCGTGCGTTACAATGACAGAGATTGTGAACCAATTCATTATACGCGGCCTAGCAATTACTGTATACTGATATTGCGTTTCCGCAAAATTCACCGAGTTTAAAAATACGTAAATCAAAACGTTTCGTGTGGATTATAGATGGAAGAATACCAGTGGCTACCAAGACGGATCTGGAGACAGCTGCAAACGATGCTCGGCTTCGAGACGACCCAACAAGAATAAATGCGCATGAAATCTTTTAATTTGATTGTGAGAATATTCCTCGATGTTGTATGAGTCACAGTAAATGACGAGATTCTCACGTGGCGGAATGACACTGAGTCTTTCAGTGACATCTAGGATCAGGTACAGAAGATTACGCTCCCTGTTCTTGTGAATTCCATATATACCTTCTTATTCACATTGCCGTCTGGAATACGATCTCATTCAGGTAGGTGTCGCCTCCACCACAATAACTTCATCTCAACCAAAATTTATTCTAAAATTATGCAATAATTTAACCTCATTAAAAAATGTATGCGCAATATCAGCAATGTAAAAGTAATCAGAAGTTCTCATGCAAGAAATGATCTATCAATCATAAACTGTCTCCTCTATAAAATATTTGGCACTGCTATTTTCACCCGTTTCAGCGCCTTTTTCCCCATGCTGTCTCATGTTCCAAAAACTCGCCATTTCTCCTTCCATCTAAAAAAAAAGTTTGCGTTAAAAAAAAATTCCTTCGGATTCCATATCATCCAGTCCATTTTGCAGAGACTCAAATGCTCACTTAACCCACCCTCGACCGAATCCAGCAACAATAATAATCCTCACTGCAAAATGAGGCACTTATACTTTACATTTACAGGCCCAAGGAATAAGTTGAAAAATACCCAGCTCACATTAAAATGGCAGGAATTTGTTTTTTCGTCAGTACTTCTCATAAAACGAGGAAACAGTGATTTGGCGACTCGCGAGATTTTTTTATTTGTTGCATGCCATGCACTCGACGTTTTATTCTGCAGTATTCCACCGAAATTGCACAACGTCAGGAAGAATTATTGAAAGGATGAAATCTTGCATATATGCGACATCTTTAAATAATGAAGAAGTCAAACATCAAAGCAAACGGGATCTTTCTCTATATATACAGTCGGGTTTCTCTATAACGAATGCCCCACAACGTCAGTAAAAGTTCTGTACTGTATTCGCATGCAACCAACCAAAGGAATAAACATGTCTTTGATAAGTTTCATACAAAAAGAAACAAAAGACAAAATTCATCAATCCACAAAATAAGAAAGATCATAAATTATGTGTCCTTTAATAACAAAGGTGGAATGAAGAGTCATTTGTCTTGTCAAAATAAGTTGCCAGTTGATCAAATCCATGCGATTCTTCATCAACTTTACATTTTCAATTCCTTGAAATACACATGGTATAGAACACAAATTTCTTGCTAATTTACGTAAAATTTTAATACGGCATATATAAATCATTATTGCCTGACAATATGAATATGGACTTTCAAAACAACCTCATTCCTCAATTTTGGCCCAGGATTGAGAAAATATAAAATAGTTGATGTACAGTACATTTATGAAATATCACTTAAAAACTTTCAAAAGTACTATCAGTTCAACAAAATTTCAAAATAAGCACATGATCTTCTTATTTGGCTTGTATTTACTTGCAAATAGCACTGTCTTTCCAAATTTGAGTT